AAGCAAACAAGATGGCGGATTGGGCTTCCGCGATCTTGAGTCTTTTAATTCGTCACTTCTTGCAAAACAATTATGGCGGCTAATCGAGACACCAAATAGTCTTCTTGGTCAGATATACAAAGCTCGTTATTTCCCAACTTCAGGGGTTTTGGGGGCTAAACTCGATCCTAATCCATCTTTCACGTGGAGGTGCATATTGAGTACTAAGAATATTGTGGAGGGTGGTCTTAGATGGAGGGTAGGAAACGGAGCATCGATCGCTTAATGGACTGATAGGTGGATTCCCAGGGAGACAACCTTTAAACTTATTACTGTTAGAGTAGGTGACCAACAAGCCAACTTGTGGCTGTGGTCTTTCATATTTATTATTGTAATAAACAAACATTTTTCGTATTAATGATAAAACCCCTTGGCATTCTATATCTTTGTCCCTTTGTCACAAGCATAGATATAGTCCTTACAGTTATTACAAGTACTAGTAATTGATCGTTAGGATGGTGAGATATTTACGTTAGTATTATAACTGTTAAATGTGTTCCTAGTCGATGGGTTACGCCACCAATGAGGATATCGACATTTCTCATTAAGCGACTAGCACTTAGTGTATGTGTACTGCATCTTATCAGTAAATGGTATTGTGATATCGGCATGCATAAGTGGGTGCTCGTAAGTTGACGAGTTCACTGAACTCCCTCACCCTAGAAATCTCTAAGTGGTTCTCAATAATCGAGTAGAGATATCTATGGTATAGTTGTAAACCATTAGTTCTTATGACCTAAATATCACCGTGACTTCACTAGAGGACCAGCTGTATCGTGACCTGTCCCTGAGTTCCACCGAGGACCGCCCCAAGGGTCAGTGTTCGTACAATCCGAAATCTAGTGGGAGGTCTGTGCATTGTAGTCGGGGATTCGATCGCTAGAATAGTCTTAGATTTTATGTGTGTTCTCATAGTTTGTAATGTCTAAGTCTCTGGCCAGAGCTGACTAAGTGATCATTAGAGAATTCGATTCTCTAAGTCATGCACGTACCGATTACAACACTTAGAACGATCGCACAGTCATTGAACTACTAAGAAGGTCTCGATGAACCAATGCCTCTAGTTCAATCGGGACATATGAATTGAAGGGATCGTACTGTATGCTAATTATATCAAAAGGTTCTTGCAACCACTTCATTTGTATCTAGGGAATCATGACGCGTAGTTGCTAGACGTCAATCTTGATTCGTTGGGTGATTAAGGTGAAACGAGTTTCATCTTAATCGTAACTCTAAGGGACGAGTTTTGACCACAAAGGATTGTGGGCCCACGGCTAGCTTACATCTGAACCATCGAGGGTCACACTATTCGTGCACATGAGATCTTTGAATGAACGGTCAGAGATGAAAATGTTTTATCTTTGCATGATTGGAAGTCAATATGATTGGGTCCAACATTCGTAATTTGGAATTATGAATGAGAATAAGAAAAGGAAAAGAATAGACGAACATCTTAGTGAACTTTCTAAATCGGGAAATTTCCAAATTTAGAAAGTGCACTGAATTAGGGTTTCCACTTTTGGAACGTTTGAAATCGAGAGTTGACACTCGTAATGACGAGGACATTATAATGATTCCGAAAATGTAATCGTTACAATTTTCCGATCATTGAATTGAGAGAAACGAGCGAATAAAAGACTAACGAACTTAAGTTATTGGACCCTCCAACTTAAGCCCGTTAGGGCTTTTATGCAAGACACTATAAATACTTGATTTATAGGTCTTGCACACACGCACAACCCTAATAAAACCCTAGCCGCTCCAATCTCTCTCACGGCCAATCTCTCCCGCGGCCACCACCGCTGCCTTCGCCGTCCATTCGCCGGAATCGGCCTCCCCTTGGCCGGTTAATCGTGGTAGATCCTTTTCCTTTTTATTCTTTCCGTTTATTCTAACTACTGCGTGTTTAGTGCCATGTTTTAGTAGATCGAAATATACGAGGTGAAATCCGAGTGGAGGAAGATTGAAGAATCGAACAATCGAGGAGCAGCCCCGAGCCAATGACGCACGCGCCTCCACGCGTCGCCCGAAGACAGCGCGTGAACCACACGCACCGCCGTTGTTCACGTCGTCGCTGCCCCGGATTGCACGGATTGGTTTCCGTGGCAATCTTGCTTCATTTAATTTGTGCGCCTACCTCACGCTTCAAGAGGTAAAGTTTTGAATCCGTAGTTATTCGATTCGTTTTAATTTAGATTAAATATGTATGTTCGTATCGTAAATTTATTGTATGAATTTATGTATGTTATGTGATTACATGATATTCGTTATTTACTGCGAGCATGATTAATTGATTTAATGCGAGCATGCTAGTTGATTTAATGTTGATTAAATAATTCGCATGTATGTTGTTTTTAATTTCGCTGGAAGCGCAAAGGTACGCAATTAATTGTTTACAATTATCGGGCATGTGATTATGTGTTTTTAATTCGTTTCATTCGCATAAAATTTTTGTTTTTCGTTGCGTACACGTGTCTTGTTCCCAACAATTACGCCTCAAGGAGATTTGTCGATGGATATGCGAGTTAAAGAAATGATGGTAGATGGTGCAAATCATTGGAATGAAGGGCTGGTTAGACAACTTTCCTTTGAAGATGATTGGAGGATTATTTTGGCAATTCCGTTAGGTCAGTCTTGCAATGAAGACAAACTCGTATGGCATTACGAGCGTAATGGACGGTTCTCTCTTCGTAGTGTATATTAATTTGCAACCCTTTTCGAAGTCGAGGGCAGCAGATCCTCTACTAGCAACTCGTACATTGATACGAAAAACACGTGGAAATGGGTGTGGTCGATGAATTTGCCTAATAAGATCAAAATATCTGTGTGGAGAGTAGGTAAAAATCTATTACCCACCCGAGCTAATTTGAGCAGGAGGAAGATAACGGCAAAGGTTAATTGTGTTCGATGCGGAGGAGAGGTAGAAGACCTTCGACATTGTTTGGCTATGTGTGCATTTGCAAGGCAAGTATGGGCTTTGAGCACTATCCTGTGGTCAATACACAGGTGGAATTGATTGGAATTGATGGATTGGTTCATAAATATGCGAAAATCGCCAGATCTTGCAGTCCTTGATCACTGTGTGGTGATATGTTGGGCACTTTGGTATTATCGTAATAGATCCTTTTTTAAGGCGATTCGGTCGAACCTATGGACGTCGTCTCTTTTGCGCTAAACTTTGTAAACCAAGTTTGTCATCCATTTGCCAAAGTACTTAGTCTTAGGAGCCTGAGTTGTATTGAGGAGGCAAGATGTCAGCCACCACCAATGGGTTTTATTAAGATCAATTTCGATGCGGCAATTAATTCGAAGGAAGGAAAGATCGGACTTGGAATCACTGCTCGAAATCATGGTGGGGTTTGTATGGGATGGAAGTCTATTTGTGTCCGGCAAGCACTCGACCCTACTTCGGCGGAAGCAAAAGCAGCTATCGTTGCAGTTGAATATGCTCGTGATCAAACATGGAGAAGGATAGTCATTGAAGGAGACTCTAACTTGGTAATTAATGCAATAAATAAAGTTGATGAAGATTGTTCAGCGTATGTGACTTTAGTAGCCGACATTCATATCCTTGCTAAGATTTTTGGGACATTCTCAGCTCAGCATGTACGAAGGATAGGTAATCGTGTTGCACATGCACTAGCTAAGCTCTCTACATGTGAGTCATATTTTGGTGATTCTTTGCCTACTAATGTCCAAAATATTGTTGGTCATGAGTTAATTTGATGAAATGAAATTGCTTTTACTTTCAAAAAAAAAAACTTGGAATGATATGGATGTTTTTAGTGTGTGATTTTGTGAAAAAGGTTAGGGAAAAAAAAGAAGGGTGGGGAAGGAGAAGATGAGATTTTAGAGAGAGAAAAAATTTCAATTGTGTGTATGATTTGGTAAAATTGGTGTGAGATTTAGCATATCAGTAATAAATTATGATTTTAAGGATAAAATTGTATTTTTCCTTTTTATTCACCCCCTATTAAATTAATCTCAGGGGGAGGGGTGCTACTAATTTAATGAAATAGTAGTATTTAATAGCGGGCTTTGATTTTAGTAGCGGGTTTGAAAAAGTGTGAATCTTACCAACCTGGCATGTAATTAGCCTCTACTATTTAGTTAGTAGAACATTATAGCGGTAACCGAACGAGCCCTTTAGAACCTTATAGCGGTAACCGAACGAGCTCTTAGTATACTAAATGACACAATTCCCTTCAATCAATTCATAGTATATTAATACAAACTATAAGGTCTATATTTACGCATAAATAATGGGACAATAGAGATGCATTTTGCCAAAAAAAAAAAGATTTTCATTAATTATAAAATAAATTGTTCACATATAAATATGAAGAGACCACATCTACAAGTTGGTTTGTTGGTTAGATACTCTAACAATATTTTAAACAATGATTTCGTATAAAACAAACGCAAATACCTAAAATCAATTTTACAACAAAATGTAATATTTACCTCAACTTCGCGATGGTATTTGTTCATATGAATAATTGTTGCTTCCTAATTGATATTATTGGACAAAACTTATGGATCTATTTGTTTTGATAATTTAGAAGATAGAGACAATTTGTTAACGAGTTGAAAGGTTTTCTGAATTGTGTTAAAAAAAAATCATGTAAATGATAAAACCCACCCCGTAGTTATAAAAAAAGGTGTTCACTCAGTCGGTAAATCGATGGAACTGAAAATTTGGTATGTGTCAAATACAAAACTGGAAAAAATGAATTAATTCGGTAAAATATGGTACCGAATCAAATAATTCGTTTTGATAAACCGTACAAATTTTCGATCCGGTAGAATTTTAGGGGGCAAAGTGGAATTTTAGGTTTAAAATTGGGGCAAACTTGACAAGTGCATAGTTGTGAGTTGTGAGTTGTGAGTTGTGAGTATGGATGTGAGGATGACACATGGATGGCCCAGAACTATCGTCTCTGTGTTATCATCATAAACAAACCAAAACCACACACATTCACAAACACAAACACAAACTTTAATTTTGAGGTTTTTTGGAGGAAGAATGACCTCAGTTCCCATAGTAATTAATCCCAAACCAAACCGCCATTAACGACCACAATTGAAGCTTCTGAAATTCAATCAATCAAACAATCAATCAATGGCTGTTTTCGGTGGCGCCTCTGTTTCGTTTCTCTCTCCTCATTTTGGGAGCAATGATAATAATACCAGCACATCGCAGAATGGGTTCATCGTCGCAAACCCTACAAGTTCAACACCATTGAATTTTCGTTCCCTTTGCACTTATTCCAACAAGCGTCCCCCTTTCTTGAGTGCCGCTAAAGTATCGGTATCTAATGGCAGCACCACCACCACCGCAACTGATGATGGCCTCGATCAGTCTCTCGATGATGTTCGACTAGCCCGGGTGTGTTTCTTTCTAATCTCTCTTTTTTGCCGCTATTCTTTCACATTTGTGTAATTTGTTAATGAATGGAGAGAAAGATGAAAATTTCATGAATATTGGTTATTCCATTGTACATAAATTATAGGGAAATAGGACTGAGTTTTGAGAGATAATTAGAAATGATCTTGATACACGAAGAACACACTGGATAACTCATTGTCGGTTATTTTTGGGCCGATATCATTTTAGAAATGTAGCAAGTGTTGATTGTCTTCTGCATCTAATTGGCTAGATTCGAACAGATAATTCGATTGTATCTGCATTTTCTAATTCTGACGTGGAACGGATATTTTGATGCATTTTGCAATCCAAGTTATTTCAACTAGGTCTATTAATGATTAAAAACATACTGAAATTCCTACTTTATGGGAGTCGAGACTATTTGATACTGCTCAAGAACCATTAAAAAAGGAGGACACACACACTCATATATATATATATATATATATTGATGAATTGATAAATGATATTTTGATTGGAAATTGCAAGTTTCTTACCTGTTTTGTTGTTGTGGAAAGAAGTAGAGGTCTGCGGATTGGAAAGCAGCAAAGGCGCATAAGGAGAAGGGAGTATTCTATGAAGGAAAAATAGAAGGATTCAACGGTGGTGGATTGCTCATCAAATTTTATTCTCTCCTTGGATTTCTTCCCTTCCCACAGTTGAGCCCTTATCATTCATGCAAAGGTATTAAGCCTCTCATTATATACATTTTAATAAAACATTTTTAGTTATATGTTTTTCCACATTTCTCTAATTTTCATGTGTAACTTTTTTCTAACCACTTGATGCAAAAGTTGTACTTTTCTTGCCTATCGATTCTGTGTTTTCAGCTTCACTGATTATGCTGTTAATTAATTAATGTTGTGATTAGCAAGAATTGCTGGTTTTCTAATGGTAAGTTATGCAGAACCTCACAAGACAATCCAAGAGATTGCAAAAGCTCTGATTGGTTCTAATATTTCTGTGAAGGTATGAATTTTGCCACTGATGTTTATTGTTTTTTTCACCTCGTTGATACTGTGTTAACTTTCAACGTAAATTGAATTCTGTTTTATAATGCCAACTAGTTCGACCAATGCTAGAAAACTATTCACTGAATCTTGTTTTTTGCAATATGATAAAAGTACGACACACCAAAAGAAAGGTTGCTAAAAAATCATGTGTTGAGCAAGTAGATAGTTGTTCTTTAGGTAATGTAGGATTTGTACGGATTTATGATGAAACCATTAAACGCCTAATTGTGTGGGCATTGGATGAATTATGAGGATGAACTTGGTAGATATAAAGTTTTATGTGGCTTGCTTGCATAAATATGATTATGCTTTTGGCACAAGGACAGAATATATGGGTTCATCGAACGCTAATATCACTAATATACTAGAAACTTATGGTTGGTATAAGAACAATTTTGATATATGTGTTCGTTTTCTTGAACCTCAATCTTCTAATGTGTTGGAACTTAGAAGTACGATTGGCTTCAGAATATAATAATTACTCGGCTATATTCTCTTAATTCAACTCTTGTTTGACCCTTATCTCTAACAACTAAGTCTTCTTGAAAACTCACTTCTCAGTACATTGTAGACTGAATCAACTATTTGAAACTTCTGTGGCTGGTTGGATTATGTCAAAATGATTTTCCAAGGAAAAATAACAAAAGAACTAGATTTAGTGAAGTGTTTCGGTTACTAAATTTTTAACGAAAAACTCTGATCAGAAAATATGGTTATTTGACTACTAAAAGTTTGAAGGATTGCTAAGTCATGTCTCATGTAGTCTTTTAGCATATTTGCGGGTAAAAGGTTTTTAGAACAGTGTCATCGAGTTAGAAATTCTTTTGAGGAAAATCAGACGATATGTAAGCTTAATCTCTCATATAGTTCTTATTCGTGGAACACGGGTAAAAACTTTATTCTGGAATGGTAGCTGATGTTCTCTTACCACAAGTATTATTTCAAATTTAGGTCATTGTTCTGATGACCGATGATATTGCTGAATAAATAATGATAGTATTACGAAAATGTTTTTCTTAAATAATTGAAACTGTTCTTAGGTGATCGAAGCTGACGAGGAAAACAGGAAGTTGATATTCTCAGAAAAGGAAGTCAGCTGGTCAAAGTTTTCTCCTCAACTAAATGTCGGAGACATTTTCGAGGGTAGAGTAGGATCTGTAGAGGATTATGGTGCCTTTGTTCATCTTCGCTTCCCAGACGGTATATATCTCTATATATATATACATTTATCCAAAATTTTGAGTTGATTAAGTCAACAATCTTATCTCAAAAATAAAAAATAATAATATATTAAAAAATTGGAAATAACTATGTATCAATCTTAGTTTTTAATCCTTACAGGTTATTATCACCTCACTGGACTAGTCCATGTTTCGGAAGTTTCATGGGATTTAGTACAAGATGTTCGAGACATCCTATCCGAGGGTGATAAAGTGCGAGTCAAAGTTGTTAAAATATATAGGTGAATCCCATTTAATGTTATTCTATATATATCTTCTGTATCTGTTTTTCTTTTTTTCTTTTTTCTTAATTTTGTGTGTGTGTGTGAGTGTATGTATGGGGGGGGGGGGGGGGGGGGGGGGGGGTTGTGGTTGGGGGCAGGAATGCGCACAAAACTACTGCAACCAAGTATTAGAATTAAAACTAGAAAAAAATCAAAGTTGCCGAAAAATTCATGCACTAGATACAATATATATAACATCTTTACATGGATAATTGAATCTAGTTTGCTGCAAATTTGAGCTGATTAATGTATTTCGAGTATACTTATGACTTGAACGACGTGGGGAATTTGTATATTCATTGAAATGGATGGCTAGTTGATTATATATTGTATATATTAATTATATAAATATATTTTGCAGGGAAAAGTCAAGGATTACGTTGTCGATAAAGCAACTGGAGGAGGACCCTCTATTACAAACGTTAGACAAAGTTATCCCTCAGGTTTGGAAAAAGTTTAGTTTACTAGTGTTTTTTGGGAGTTGAAATAGGTGATGATATTTTACGGTTGACAATGACAGGGTGTCTCCGTAGAAGACCCTGATGTGTTGACTGCAAGTGATAGTTTGACTATAGAACCTCTTCCCGGGCTCGACGTAATTATTGAAGAGCTATCAAAGGAGGATGGGTATGTTTTAGATATAACATATGTTGTTTTATTCTGTGGGTTTTTTGTTCTAAAGGTTTTCTCCTTTGGCTTGTCTTTCTTGTGATCTTCTGCTCGTAAGCAAAAGGAACAGTGATACCGAACAAAACCTTATCCGATCCCTATCTGTGGAAATATCTATTTAAAACAAGCATGACTGCTAATTAAAAAAAATTAATAGGTGATTGATTGTATGTAAGCTCTTACTCATATTGTTGAAATCTGTAAGAGGGAGTCCAAAGATTTCTAAAATATATGTCCCACTGATCAGCGAATAATAAAATGCCAAGTACAACCTTTTGCAACTTCCTGTTTCGAGGTCTGATATAATATATAATTGCTAACTTTTCTGCTTCTTCTTTGTTATTTAAGGTTTAATTTTTCTTACAGCTAGGAGAACAGGGAAATATAAACCAACAGTACTGATTAAAATATATTTTACGTTTCAGAATTATATCATAGATTGGTTTCCGTAATATATATATATATATATATATATATATATATATACATATATACACACTGTATATATATATATATATATATATACATATATATA